CTGGTATTAGTGTGATGTTGATGGTATTGTCTCGTCTGCCTTGGAGGCCCTATGTCTGGGGATTGCCCAGAGGTCAGCCTGCACTCTCATGGGAGATGACGGATTATTGTAAACAGTTATGCCCCCCCCCCTCCCCTGTTACTTATCCTATAGATGAGGCTTCATGTCCAGGTTGCTGGTAAGGCAGGCAGCCTTGAGGATGCCTCTGCCTGACTCGGGTGAGGCAGCGAAGGCAGCTTGGGCTCTCGGCCCTGTCTTGAGCGCCGTGGTGAGATGGACGGCTGCTTTGCCGGCTCTGATGGAGCGCTGTGGTCGGCCCCGGTCGCCTCTTGCTACGCTTCTCTTAGCAGATGCTGTCATCCCCCCCCATCCCCCCCCCCCTGCAGGCTTGCTTTTGGGACACTTTACCCTGCCTACTCCTCATACAAGGCAGTGAAGACGAAGAATGTGAAGGAATACGTAAGTATCCCTGCATGCCAGCTTCTCTCTCGATGCTCAGCGTTTAAATGAGTGGAGAACTCCAGGCTCTTTGGGTCTTTTTAATAAAGAAAACAAGACCGATTATATTGTCATCCTGACAATGGCCGCTCGAGGTTTTTGCTGACCGTGACTGCAGTGAACTTCCTGGCTCGTCCTGTGTCATTGTGTGTCTGTGTGTGTGTGCGTGTTTGCGCATGCGTGCTTGCGCACCATCTGATTCATTGTGTGACAGTATCCCCCCCCCCCACTTTGCTGGTTGCCATGGAAACCCCACAGTTGGAACAGTTGCTCAGACAGACGGGGGTGAGGGGGGGTGATGAGGAAGGGAAGCCATGTTTAGAGCCAATGTTTGTGTCCCGAACATAAGCAGCCGTTTGCGCCTTTAAAGGCAGGGCCCCTTGCTATGCTCTTGTGTTTGTCCCATTGACGCCCCCAGCTTTGTGGTCATATGATCCCATGAGCAGGGATGTTACTATAAATGCCACAATGGGGAAGGTCTTTGATCTGCATTGTCTTCTCGCTGCTAGGATGTCTGCTGCACGCGTTTCCTGGATGTGGGGGGAGGGAGGCGGCCTGAACGGTCCGTCTCTCGTTGCTGCGGTTTTTGCATGCGGGGGTATTTTCGTTTGCCTAGGTGACACCCTGTCATGTGGCTCTTCCACAGGTGAAATGGATGATGTACTGGATAGTCTTTGCGTTCTTCACCACAGCAGAGACACTCACAGACATCGTCCTCTCCTGGTAAGTGCCCCCCCCCCCCCCCCAGGCTGTCTCCATGTGGATCACATGACACTACTGTGGAGAAACCAGGTCATTCCAGTCTGGTCGTCAAGGGAGGCCGGTTACCTGAGGCTGATGACTGCAGGATCGAGGCTTGTGAGCCCATGGTGGGCGGGCTTAACACATGCTCGCAGTTGCTGATTGGTTTAACCAACTTCCTGCTAGCTCCTTTGGGCTCCCATGCAGTGATTTCACCCACTGTGCCTTTCAAAGACTCATTTCTCCCATTGTCAGTTATATGGTGCAGCTGTGGGATGAGCTCCTGAACCGTCCACTGTCACATGCTTCATTTGCATATATGTGGGTCTAACCGGGGCGGATTAACTTATCTGGGGGCCCTAGGCTTTCATCAGCATGGACACTCGGGTGTTGCACATTTAACTGACCATTCCATTATTCCCTAGGTGGGGTGGGGCTATAGGCTATAGCCTATGCATCATGTGGGCTATAGCCTATGCATCATGTGGGCTATAGCCTATGCATCATGTGGGCTATAGCCTATGCATAAATCCATCCCTGGGCCTGATAGACCTAGAAAATCTGCTTGTAAATCTGGTGCCTTTAGCATGCTGAATATTGGAAATGAAGCCAAGCTGACCAGTGTATTGGTGTGCAAAGCACTGGTGCTCAGTGAGGCTGTGATGGAAATGTCCACCACATAGTCCACTTTGTTGGGAGTCGGCCATTTTGTAGTGCTGTTCAAATTCTCAACTGTAAATTTCACCCACTATACAGTGCACTACAAATCGGCACAAGGCACTCCAAAATATAGTGTACATAAGCTGTACCCTACAGTGGATGACTTAGACCATCATGCATTGCGGTCTGTCATGTGAGTGACGGAACCATATTTGGGAGACTCTTGCTCAGCCTGAGATGTAATCGTTAACCAGTGTTAAGTAGCTTCTGGAATACTTGCACGTGAGCTTTAACAAGTTCCAGCCTGCTGCAGCTTTAAACGCCAAAAGATCGTTTTAATGTGTTTGATGTGCATTAGCATTACCCAAGTAAAGCAAATTAATATCGCGGTATATTGAAGATTAGTATAAAATGCCATGTTACAGCTGAAGTCTCCGGCCTGCTTGCATAGGTGGATACAGTATCGTCAGGTATGTCGTAAATAGTTGTCTGTGTGCACAGAATTATCTTGTAAAGATTTGTTTTGTTTTATTTCAACATTGTGGAGGCATGTCATTTACAATGCGTACTTATCCAAAAACAGCAACGTTGGTGTGCTTGTTCTGGCATGTTCATTATTATAATAATTGATCCTTTATTGTCCCAGTGGGACAATTATTGTAAGAAGTGCAAACATGAAACTAAAAAATATACAATAAAGATAAATTTTTTTTAGCATTATAGTTTCACAGTAGAGGGGATGTTCTGATATTTATTTCTGCGGCAGCGATAAATGCCGGTATCCAGCACCTAATTATGTGTTTGCGTAACATCCGCCTGATGTCTGAAATGCATCAACCTCTGTGCCCTTTTTGCCTAGTGAGTGTTCTATGTAATGAACATAGTGAGTGAGTGGACAAGTGGACATTTTGGGTGTGGGTGTCACATGCTGACCTTTGACCTTGGGCCCGCTTCCCCTGATCGCTCTCTCTCTCTGCTTCTCTCTCCAGGTTCCCATTTTACTTTGAGCTGAAGATCGCCTTTGTCATCTGGCTGCTGTCCCCATACACCAAGGGCTCTAGCGTGCTCTACCGCAAGTTTGTACACCCCACGCTGTCCAGCAGAGAGAAGGTCCGCTTCCTATTGGTATTCTGCTCCCTTGCAGCCCTGCGGTGCCCCCCCCTCTCATCCGTGCCCCCTTGCCTTCCAGGAGATAGATGAATACATCTCTCAGGCCCGGGATCGCAGCTACGAGACCATGATGCGTTTCGGAAAGCGCGGCCTCAACCTGGCGGCCAACGCCGCCGTGACGGCTGCCACCAAGGTGGGTCCCCCCCCCCCGTGTCTGTCAGCTCATGGGTCCCCCCCCCCCGCCACGTGTCTGTGCCTGGGCTGAGGTGTGCCCGTCTCTGCAGGGACAGGGCGTGCTGTCGGAGAAGCTGCGGAGCCTCAGCATGCAGGACCTGACGCTGATCCGCGACGAGGAAGAGCTGCGTCTGCATGGCTGCGAGCCCCGCATGCGATCGCACGACGACGCGGGCGTGGTGCCCCGCAAGACTGTCCCGCGCCAAGGTGGGGAGTTATGGGGGCCCATCGGCCTTCCAAAAAGTGTCCTTGTACTTTTGCTCAGGGTTTTACAAACTGTAGGTCCTGTAAGTCACGTGGGAACCAGTTACTCAGTAATACTATGATCTTCTAGATGCTTGAGCTCCTTTCTTGGAATGCTGCAATGTTGTAGTTAATCTGATCTGGTGAATTACTGTATTAAAGCTGTTAAAATACCATGGTCCAACTTTCAGAAGATATACCAGGGGGTTAGAACATGCTTTTGTTGTGGTACCATGGGATCCCTTTAATGAGGCCATTTTTTTAGTGTGGAAAGTGGGTGAGGAGAGTTTTTAAGGAAGTCTGCAGGCAGCCTAATGGGCACTGAGATGGGAACAGCGCCACCTTGTGGGGGGCAGTGATACGGGCGGTGCTGAAGGGTTACGACAAGCGGAGGTGGTTAAGGACGGCGGGGAGGTCAGGAGCGTCGGAAATGGAGGTTGAGGTAAACCCTGACTGGTGGTCAGGCTGGGGTGTGGGCGTCACGTGCGAGTAAAGGCCGGATGTGACGGTTTTATACGTGTGTGGGGAAGGTGAGAGAGCCATGAGCTGGCGGCAGGTGATGTCATCGCGATATGGTCGGGTAGATGCTTACTCTGCGATATATTCATATATATTTTTTTTAAAAGAATATAGTTAAGTGGTAGTAAAATCAATTAATTTTAGTTCAAGATCTAGTCTCTAAGCTGAGATCCGCTGAGACGATTCACAAAAGTGGGATATTCAAACAGAGCAGAGATGTCATGCAGACTGAAACACGTAGGCGTTCGTGATCGGTGCTTGCTGGTTTGTCCTGTCACAATAATAGTGCTTAAATTGGTGATACAGCACTATTTTGAATTTTTCATATTTGCGCAGGGGCAAACAAAATGCCAGAAAATGGTTTGATTTTGAGATGGTCGAGCGTGGCCCATTTTTTGAGTTGAACCAGAATGACCCTGTAGTCGGTGGTAAATCACCATTTCTCCCAGCACTTGCATGATCTCTCCCTGGCTCTGAACGCATCACGCGTGCTCTGCAGCCCGCACCACGGCCGCCTCTGACGAATCGCATCACGGCAGCGAGCAGTTGGACACGCGGCCGGAGCAGTCGGATGAGGACGCCGCGGAGAAAGCCCCCAGGCGAGCTGCCAGCGTCAAGGCAGCCAAGAAACCAGCCGCCGCCAAGACAGAGGTACGCGTGCCCGTGTGTGCGTGTGGCACGTCTGCCGACTTGCTTTGGTTCCCTAACTTTAACTCAAAGTGAAACTTCAGCTCAGCGTTGTTAAAGATGTTTGTCCCTGGATGTTGCGGGATGTCTGAGTGCGCAGCCGCTCTGTCAGCTGCGCAGCCGGGCCGTGTGCCGGGAATCGCACTGCAGGGCTGCGTGCCGCCTCAGGAATGCGGCCAGTAGGTGGACTTGCATACGATGACATCTGCTCACCCATTTCTCACAGAAGCGGCTCTTGTCTCAGCCTCCCCTCATCCATTCATTATCCTAAATTATTTTTCTTTCTCTGATTCATTCTTTTCTTCTGTCTTGTGTGCAACCCACCCCCCCCCCCCCCCCAGACCCAAACAAAGACTCTGAAGAAACAGCCAAAGAAGAAGACCACTCCTGCCACTGGGGGCAGTGCAGAGACACCCTGAGCTGGGCTCCTGTACACACACACAGCCCTCGGCAGCTTTGCTTGTCCTCATTTTTTTCTCCTCCTCGCCTGACACACACACACACACAGACACACACACACTCACACAAACTCATGTGAACACTCATTCTCATACATAGCCAAGAATTTTGGAAGTCTTCGTAGCCAGTTGTGTTGATTTAATTGTATGGCCAACCCTGTTACACTCCTAGCAGGGCTTGTTGTTTTGGGGGGGGAGGTGGGTTGCCTTCTGCTGCCCCCTTAAGGCCAGATCAGGCATGGCACCTGCTTACATTTTTTTTCTTTTTAATAGCTCTCAATTTGCGTGGACTGTTCACAAAAATATGTCCTGTGCAGCATTTTGCACTGAGTCTTTCTTTATTAACCAGGGCATCTTAAACATTAGGGAAGTGGGACAGATGCCATGGGGGGGGGGGGGGCATGTGACATTAAGGCAAGGTGTAGCAAACTATGGTCAGTTGCTTTCTGGTTGCCTGATCAGCAGTAGTTCAGATGAGATGCATTTTAAATGTCAAATACGAAACTTCTACATGCGGCTCCCTGTCTGTCTATAGCTAATCGTATGGAAGGGGTGTCCGTGAGGAAGATGGCGGGGATCTGTTTGCTGATCGATGACGGGGGGGGGCAAACTGCTGCTCCCTGGGGCTACTTCTGTTCTCTACCTGCGCGACGTGGCTCAAAAGGGCCCGTTTGCAGAGGTCTATGTTAACTGAGCTGAGCGGCAGGGTTCAGGCGGTGGGTTTACCATTGGAGAATATGGTGGGGAGTTGGTGTGTTTACAGCCTTCACAGTGCATCACTGTAATCAGTGCATGCTCCTTAACTTACTGTGAAGGCGCTGGACGTCCCTCGTGTGTGAGAGATGGGTGTGGCTTGGGGTGCGCAGTGCTGGTATAATACAACTACACTCATGAAACGGGAGAGTTCAGCCATACTGCTCTCTAATTGTCTTAGTCTCCTAAATGTGCAAAATCAGCTCCCTCTGACTATGCAGAGTGGGGCACTGGTAAGCCGTTTACTATATATTAGTGTGAGGTTCGATTTATAAGCTTTCTGTAAGCAATCAGATTATCAGAGCCAGTCAGTTAAATAATGGAAGCTGTACGTAAGCTAAAGATCTGCGTAATAGTTACTCCGCTCATCGCACAACCTGTGACTTCTGATATCGGGGGTTTTTTTTTGGTAGAGGAGGGAGGCATGTTATGGTGGTCTTTGCTGGGGAATGGAGACTGAAAGCATGATGTGTTGCGTTATGTTGTGGCTGTCCCGCCTGCAATTCGTTGCAAGAGCAGCAGGTGGCGCCACAAACATTACTAAACCAAGTTTCTAAGTTAACTATAAAATAAGTGTAAATAGTAAGATACTGACTGTATAAATTTAGCTTGCTTGCCTTATTCTTTTAACAGTGTTGTGTTTTTCTTTGTGTTTGATGGATCACTTTTGATTTTGTCAAAGTAGAGCTTCTGATTCATAACAAGCTCTGACATTGAAAGTGTATAGATTTGTGTGTTTTTAATCTTTATCTTGGGGTATGACCTATGCTGCCCCTGCAGATCTGGGCCCTCTGCAAAGTATCCTCTCACTGCAATTCTAAGAGCCTCTCCTGTGTGTCTGAGCCAGTCTCGTCCACTTAGGCTTAGCCGGTAAATGTCCATTTGGAGGTTGTTTTAAGCTCATTAAATTATACCTTGAAGCAGTGTTTTAAATCTGAATGCACAGGCAGTCGGAGGATCACGCTCACAGGACCCCGCAGCTCCAGGCTTGGGTAGTGAGGGCCCATATGGCACCACTCTGCCATCCTTTGCTTGGGTTTTAATTCACTACATCTGGGAGGTAGGAATACGTTTCATTTACCTGATCACACATGTCACTGGAACTTCAATATCCTAATGTTTATATTTAATTTGAAATTTAGCACTGTTGTGTGAAGAATTTTAAGTATTCCATTTTGAATATTATTTGTGTCGATTATTGACACTCGTATCATAAATAGTTTTGATTTGTGCTGGAAAACCTGCTTTCCAGATATACTGGTCATTTAATTTTATGGTCATGTATGTGCTAACAATAAACAACCAATAACCATTTGTCTTTGCCCTTTTCTCTTGTACAGAGGGGACCTAGTATGACTTGAGGGTTTCCTACCTACATCTCTTGAACATACAGTCATGGCCAAAAATACTGGCACTGTGCACATCATTCAGGAAACACACCACTTCTCTTAGAAAACGGTTGCAATTACAAATGATTTAGTACTGACATGTTTATTTCTTTTGATGACATTGGAACAAGACAAAAAAGCAGAGAAAATGTCTAATCTGATAATTCCGTACAGAACTCCGGAAATGGGCTGGATAATATCATTGGCGCTTTTTCAAGAGTGTAAGGAACAATTGGATTTCAAATGGGATGCACCTTTATTCATTTGTATTTAAACTATCCTGTGACAGTTCACTGGTGCTGGCAATATGGAAGTCACACTAGCAACCAGTTTAAATGGAGAAAAAGAAAAGAATTGTCTGAGGATTTAAGAACCCAAATCGTGGAAAAGCAGGAACAACCTCAAGGTTAAAAGTCTGTTTCCAGAGATCTTACCATCCCTGGGTCCAGTGTGTGTCGCGTCATTAAGAAGCTTGCAACCCAAGGCATTGTGACCAGCCTCCCTTGACGTGAACAGGAGAGACAACTTGGTGGAAGATTGTGATGAAGGATCCTTCGAATGGTGGATAAAGATCTTCAGTCACCTTTCAAGCAAATTCAAGCCGACTTGCAGACAGTGACACTGTTCCAGCTGACATTGTCCCTCACCATCTGAATGAAATGGGACTCAGTGACAGGTGACCCAGGGGGACCCCAGTGCTGACAGAGTCATTAAAAGCCAGACTGGAGTTTGCCTAAACTTACTGAGGAATCCAATATCTTTCTGGGGGAATGTCTTGTGGACAGATGAGACCAAAAAAAACCAAAAAAACCCCCAGCTTTTTGGCAAACCACAGCATCATATCAGTGTCAGAATGCGGGGTATGTGTCGGGGGTTATAGGTCTTCCAGTAGGGCAATGACCCAAAGCGTACTTCAAAAAGCACTTAGGAATGGATCAACAACACACTGGAGAGGTGTGACGTGGCCAGCAGCGAGTCCGAATCTCAATCTCCGTCAAAAGCTGTGGAGAGATCGCGAATCGGCAGCTGGCAAAATAAGACTGGTACAAATAATACCAATAATGTTGTCCAGCCAGTTCTGTGTGGAATATCACGTTTGAGCTTTTTCTGATTTTTTTTTTTGTTCCAGTGTAAAGAAAAGAAACAATGAATACCGAAGCATTTGTAATTGCAACGATTTTCTGAGAGAAGTGCAGAGGTGTGGGTGATTTTGGCTATGAGTGTATAAGTATAAATTTCCAATTTGGAAGGCGTGTATTTAAACCGAATTTCCCCCGAATTTCCCCCAAGTTTCTTAGATTTATTTTAAAATTTAATACATTGTATTCAGTGGAAGCTACTTCAATTGTACAAAAAAAAGCCTTACATCATACAAACCTTTTGACGTTGTACTTTTCCCCGCTTCCTTATATAAATTTGTAATGATAAAAAACCCGGCCACTCATGGAAAATTCAAATTTTTAAGTACAGCGAAATAGTCCACAATCGATTGAAGTAAAATGCATCAAACCGATCACTATATGTGCCATCAGAAATGCATAGGCTTTCTCCGTATCATGAAATTTTCAGGTTTTGAAGCCTTTGGGGGAGCCTTACCCTTCTGTCCCTGACAGCGAAATAAATGTACACACCGCTTCTTTCATTGCCGCTGCTTTAATACGCTGCTCCTCAGATAAGGTGGATTTGCGCTGTCGCGTTACACCCTGAAATGTTCACACATTACCCACATTACAGCAAAATGTTTACATTATATATGGTTCAAATTACAAAACGTCCACTTCCATGCTTTATAGTCTTTCAGAAATATTTATTCAAGTCTCGAGGATAATAATAATGTAATTGCAGTGAGCACCTAAGACCACAAGGCGGCACCATTCGCCTTCTGATTGATGTCTAATTCCCAATAAGCGGTCGTACTGAGATTTGCGACTTTTTACTTACCGGCCGAAAGGCGCAAAGGTGTTTCCATGTATGAACTGTGAACGAAATGACTGCCTTGCTTGGGGAATGATTGGGCGTTGAGGTCATAATGCCGCCTTCTGCGGAGGCCTTGTGTGTTAAAGCGGTATTGAACGTAGGTTAAGGCGAGCAACAGCCATATATAAGCTGCCTTAATGGGTGAGGATCCCGCAGGAATAGCTAATCCTAGGTGTGTGATCCTGCAAAACTGAAAAAGCTCAGTACTTAGTCTAAAGGCACAACATGTGTGTTGTTTTGAAGTATTTCAGTGTTTGGGATTAAATTGGTGCATTTCTATGTATATTTTCCTATGTGTGCCTGCGTGCGTGTGTGTGTGTTCCTGTCATTACATAAGGCTCCGCAGTGACTGAATCTCATTAAAGTTCAGAGGTGGGGGGGGGGGGAGTATTAATGGGACACCTGGAAGGGGGAGATGGCTGGCGAGGGATTCCCCGCGCTCTGCACGGGAGGTAGTGTTTATGATGGTGTGGGTGGGGAGGTGGGGGTGCCCGACGCTCGAGTGGGGGGCGAGCTCACTCCGGCACACCATCCCTCGCTCTTTTTAGATTCTTCGGGGCTGCCGGGATCTCTCCCAAAGCTTGTGACGTCAGGGAAGACCCGCTTACATAAGAGCTGCCGGGGAGGCAATGACTCCGGGGGTGGGGGAGGGGGCTGCAAAGGAAAGTCCGGAGCCGTTATTCGCTGTATTCTCATGAATGTATTTATCGACCTCTGCTTGCAAACATTTACTTAATTTTCTATACCTCTGTAAGTCACGGAGAAGCTTCTGGAAGCTTTTGCTCTGGGGCATAATACTGTAGCTATCTGCGTGTTTGTAAGAGGGGCAGTGCAGGGAAGATGGGAATGGAGGTGACACGTAAGGAGAGGGGGTGGGCGGTGCGGGCTGCCCCCCAACGAGCCCGTCCAGAGGAAGCTGCTCAGGAGAGACCCTGTAACGTTCACGGAAGTGACAGCTATAGGAGAGACGGTTTGTTCGAGGGCTTATTGTCTCTGAAAGGTTCTGTCAATGCAGATGACACGCTCGTCCTTATTAAAGCGTGTGGGGGGCGCTGCGCGCAGCTGAAGGGGAAGCGTGGTGCAGATGCAGAGCTCTTGTACTACTCGCTGTGTAACCCCGCTGTACAAATACACACACAGCAAAGTTCTCTTGCCTGACAGTGAGATAGACGCATAAGCTCATACGGAAACACGCGAGCCTTTTAAAAAAAAAATCCGTCAGACCCGTGCAGTACCTGATCTCCCCAGCAGAGGGCCTAGTCTGATCGCGGAAGGTGAAGCGGAGGCGTCAGAGACAGCTGCAGGTTGCGGCCTGTGCCCGGGAGGGATCCCCTACTCCGTGCCCGTCTGGCGAGTGATTTCAGGGTTTACTTTTCGTCTGCTGAGAGCCCCTTACCCCTCCCCGGCCTCTGTGTTAGCCGTGCAGAGAGCCGCTTTCACTGGTGTTGTGACACTATTTGCCCGTGGACCGCTGCCTCCGAAGGACGCGGGGAGGGTTCGTGCCGCCCCCGCACGTCCCGCTGCGCTGGGGTGCTGGGCCTAACGGTGCGGGAAGCAGTGCTGCGCAGGAAATGCCAACTAGAGGTGAGAGGTGGAAGGAGATGGCCGACTTTCGGCTGAAATCTGGCCCGCGGTTGGCTGGAGGCAGCCTGCGCTCCGGGTTATATAAGGCGCGTGAATGTCAGCAGAGTGGCGTCAGCCCGTGCGGCTCGAGCGGCCCGAAGATCCGCCAGGTGACAGGCGTGCAGAGCCCCTCCCCCCCAAACACCCTGTAGGGGTCGACGCGGAAGGTTGGGAGGGGTGTAGTTAATGTGAGGGGACGGAGGCTGTGGTGTGTGTGTGTGTGTGTGTGGTGAAAAGATGTAGGGGGCGCCATTCAGCCATGTGCCAGTACACACTCCCCCTGTGATTGTATATAATATGAGCCAAAGGGGGGGGAGCTGTTTGGTGGGGGCTGGATGCCTTTGGTGGTTGGTTACATAACCCCTGTGTATCAGTACCGGCTTATGACTTGTCCTGTTCCCCCTCCCCCCCCAACAAAAAAATACACAAACCCAGTCAGCGGCTGAACACTGGGGTGTGAAGGGTTAGCTAAATGTCAAAGCCTCAGTTGAATGACCCGACCGGAAGCAGAGGGCAGGTATCAGGGCCCTGTGACAGACCCCAGGGCTTGCGGTCGCCTGCTGACACCGCCGTTTTAAGCCCAGGCTGCACTGAGGGAGTGGGGGTGTGGTGGTGTGAGTCCCTGAGGGAGGGGGCTGTTTTAAAGACCTCAGAATCAATACTAAACAGTTTGGGCAGTTCTTCCCCTGTAGTCAGCGTGTTTTCAAGTCTGCATTTCCATTTCGCGCCCGGAGACACTCCTCAGCCTCCTCTGGTAGTTTAGCCGAAAGTAAGGAAATCTCCTCGCCCCCTCAGTATCCCCCCGTCCGGGGCTCGGCTCGCATCTCCTCGCCCCCTCAGTATCCCCCCGTCCGGGGCTCGGTTCGCACGCTGGCCCGCGCAGGATGAGAGCGGCTTCCCCGCACTTGTTTGTAAATATCAGCCACATTCGCCGCCGTTCTCTC